GGAAGAGTAATTAATTGACTAGGGATAACTCAGGAATGGTAAATCGTATAATAATAGTTCATAAGTCAAAATAAAGCTTATAATAAAAGGAACATGAATATGAATAGTTACGTTAATTAGTAATTATAAAATAAGAAATATACATATCATATTGGTCCATAAATAGTTCTCAAAGTTATCATTCATAATTCTCCCCCTTTTTGCGAGATCCGGAGTTGATATCCGAATTTTAGATTTCCCGAATTTTTTCTGTCTTGAAAAACACATATTTAAGCAATTAAGATTTATTTTCGTTATATCTCGAATTTAGATTTCTTAGTCTGTCGCGTAATACTTGAGCACTCGCGATACTTGAGAACTCTCCTAAGTCATAAATCAGAAGACAAAAGACAAGTAGAAGGAATATTATTCAAAACAGTGTCAATTATAGTACAAAATTGTCAGGTATTTATACTTTTTAGTAGAAACGAAATCATCATCATAGTTATCCAATCCACACACAGGGAGTTATCAGCATTGTCCAATAGGGAAGCTACATGTAGTGATTCTAGAATATTCTTCCCAATGCAGATTGGATGGAATATATCCGGCTCTTTCTGGATTTCTTAGAGCTTCCTCAACTTCACCTGTGGACCATCCTCACAATTTTCAAATAGATTTTCATCAAATCTTACTTTAATACACTTCGATATATGAAAAACATTAGGTCAGTCAAGATGACTTATGGGTTAAAGATATTAATGAGATAGATTCAGTAGTTATTACTGTGTATAAAAGTAAACCATAATAAACTAGTTAAAAACACAATTGGTTACATGGGTATTATATTCTAATTTAGATGACGAGAACTTCTATTATTTTGTTATTAAATTAAATTTTTTATTTCTGTTACCACTATTATTATTATTATTATTATTATTACCATTACTATTATCACTATTACTATTATCATTACTATTATTATTATTACTATTATCATTACTATTACTATTATTACTATTATCATTACTACTATTATTACTATTATTATTCATAATGGCATAATATATTCAATCTTTTTCATCAATCTAAACAAACGCCCAAATAAATAATGACACCCAACAACTACTTCTCAGGTAAATAAGTAATAAATATGTTACTCTGAAAAGTTTATAGACTTTATCATATTATCTGATGTTATCTATTCAGTCAGATATTCATTAACTTATTTATTGAATTACAGATGCTGAGTAGATGGAGAACGCCAGCACAATGTTTGCTGTTTAAATTTTATTCTGTTCGAATGTATTGATGAAGATATATCTACAGTTACTGCCTATAATGTGGACTGACAGAGATTCGAGTAAGGTTTGTAGATACTCTCTGAAGAGTAACACCAATCACCAAGAAAACTAGTATCAAACTTCCTATCAATTCGCTTCGGTAATCTAAGATTAAAAAAATGATATATGTTATGCATCGCCACTTGAATAATTCTAGGGACTGAAAACTGATAGATAGATAGGTTTCAATCAAATGTTTAGTTACAAACTAGTGGTCATTCAGTATCCAAATATAGTTCACTACCTTAAATGCTACAGTAATCACTAAGTAAATTTATTCAACAATTTGATTGCTTATTGTTATATCTGGCCGATTTTGAACGTTATATTCGCTTCCCTAAGCTAGTTCCGTAACCCCCGAGCTAGAACTATACACTGACTTGAAGATCAGAGAAAAGGCACAAATTGTGTGGTAAGCACTTTACTAAAGGGTTCAATCTTGTTACAGAAAATCATAGGTATTTATAGATGTTAGCCAATCCATTAACTACATATTATGATACCAACCAATAGCATCACGCCACGATGGAACATTCTAGAGTCGGTGTATACTTCTAGGTCGGGGGTGACGGAACTAGCTTAGGGAAGCGAAAATAGCGTTCACAATCGGCGAGACGTAACACTTATACAACATGTTCACACAAAATGGTATTTGTGAACAATTTATAAGTACATTCAGAATGAACATGTAAAAGTTTGACATTTATCATTACCATAATCAGGGGTTATTTTGGATTGAATATTGGTTGAAAGCATGAGTCAATTGAAGCTAGACCATCAGAGAAAACCTGGAAGCACTGGACAGCCGTTTCCTGGTGGTCTAACTTCAATTGACTCATGGTTTCAACTATGATAATACTAAATCTTCACAAAAAATTCCCTTCTGAATATTGGTTATAAATAGATGACTAGATAATTTCATTTTGTATATTCATCAGCTAATTGATTAAATAATCATTTTATAATCAGAATGATTAATTGTAATTTTTAAAAAAAAGATGATTTAGTCAAGTAGAGTTCTGCCTTGTATAGAACTATACCTCCATATTATCAAGAAGTTGCAAATTAAAACGAAACCTAAGTTCAATGTCTTAATCTCATAATATAACACTGAACGATTGTACTATGCTTTGAAAAGAAACTAAGCAAGTAAATCAATAGATAATAAATCAGATAACATTAAGAAGTATGGTAAATCTAATTTACTTATTTAAGGAGATTCTAATACGTGTACATTCTATTAAGTAACGAATCACTCGTCCCAAGTATCTACAGTTGATTGACCGTTGTTTGTTCAGTCCTTTAGTGCTCATTAAATTCGATCAATTAAGTTGCAATAAAGAAAGTAGTTTAATGATCAATTAATCGAAAAAATATCAGTCCCTATAGGAAGTCAGTCGTGACCCGTATAACTCGATGCTAACATTGTAGGAGTTATAACTGGGCAATGAGAGTTCTATTATATCAGAAGGCACCACTTCAAGTATGACTACAGATAAGCTTTTCTGATAAGTGCTAAATAACATGAAACGTAGGTAATGAGTTTCTTGTCAACTACTTACAAAGACCCATTGTCTTATGTAAAACATTTAGGTGTTAGTATGAAATCATGATTCGATCCAAGCTAGATTACAATTGAAAACTTGGAAGCACTGGAGAGCTGTTCCGTCCTAGCATTGAACTATTCACCAGTGAGCATGAACGACCTCGTGCATAGAAATCGAACTCAGGACTTTTAGTCTCACGTGCAAATGCTTACCCTCTAGACCACTAAGCTGACATCCAACGGTATTAATTTCTAACTCTAATCAATCCATGATCTTGTGAAAACCCTTCATGTATTACCTGGGGTAGATAACTGTTTTCGCACCCGACACGAATTTGGCACTGGCCACGGTTTATAATGATGACCTTTTTATTTGAACGAATCATTACTTTTCTGTTTCAGAAATTCAGATGCCGCAATTATATAGATTCTATGACTGATCTACATACTAGTAGTTTATGAAGCATATGTTAGCAAACATCAAAAACATGACTGACATGACTCAAATATTGTAAAAAAACACGAACAATTTTAGAATTTACCAAATAAATTTAACAGTTTTTTAATGGAAATCTTTTGAAATTCACCCGAGAACAGTTGTAAAGTAACCACCATTTTCTACTTATTTATGACCTCTTCGAAGTAACTGGTTTTGCATAAGCTACACATTTGAGTAAAAAGTATTAAATGATTATCAATGGTGTAATTCGAGATCATTTTCATGCAATTCTGATGATAAGATTTTAATAAATGAACAAATTAGAATTATCAATTAGAACATTCCAATATATAACTCCGCCTGTAGATCCTCCGGGGGCTATTGCCGGTCTCAAACCCACAGAAAGGAGGAGGGTTGGGCATGGGGTTAGCGACCCTATCTCGTAGAAAACCAACTCGCTAAAAAAAACGCTAACCAGAAAAAAATTATCATATATAATATCAATCCAGAAGATGTTACTCATAAGTATATGAGTATATAAATACATAGGTTGAAATACTTATATAAAAAGTGGAGAATTCCAAATACTTGTATTACATCCCTGACTTACTTACTCACTTACTTACTTACTCCTGTTACCCCTCGTCGAGGAGCATAGGCCGCTCACCAGCATTCTCCATCCAACTCTGTCCTGAGCCTTCCTTTCCAGTTCTTTCTAGTTGCTATTCATCCTTTTCATATCGGCTTCTATTTCCCGACGTAATTTGTTCTTTCGCCTTCCTCTTTTCCGCTACCCAGTACGATTCCAAGTTAGGGATTACCTCGTGATGCACATTGGTGATTTCCTTAATGTATGTCCTATCAAATTACAACGTCTTTTCGTAATTTACTCTTCAGCTCCAAGCTGGTTTGTCCTCTCCCATAAAACGCTGTTGCTGATAGTATCTGGCCAATTGATGTTGAGTATTTTGCGTAGACAACTATTTATAAATATTTGTACCTTCCTGATGATGGTCGTAGTAGTTCTCCACATTTCAGCTCCATACATTAGGACTGTTTCGACATTCATATTGAAGATTCTCACCTTGAAGTTAGTTGACAACTGTTTTGAGTTCCATATGTTCTTCAATTGTAAAAATGAGGTCCTTGCTTTGTCAATCCTCACCTTCATATCTGCATCCGATCCTCCTTGTTTATCAATGGTGTTTCCTGGGTACTTGAATGTTTCCACCTCTTCCAGAGTTTTGCCATCAAATGTTATTGGGTTGATGTTCTCTGTGTTGTATTTGAGAATCTTTCTTGTTCATCTGTGTATGTTCAGGCCTATTGATTCAGAGGCTACTGCTACATTTGTTGTCTTCATCTGTATTTGTTCGTGTATATGAGATAGGAGGTCTAGGTCATCAGCGAAGTCAGATGTTTGAATATCAGAGAATTTGTAATGAAACAATTGTACAATCAGTAATACTTAATAAATGTCGCACTCTCTATGGACAATAGAACAGAAGTCAAAAAAGAATAGTCCATTTTAATCAACGAAAATCCTTCTATCTGACTACCAATTAGATTCATATAAAAATTGTTTTGTCTGATTAAACTATAAGTTTCATCATAGAGATTACAAGCTCTAATTAACCAAATTATGTTTGGGCGTTTTCAATAATAATCAGAGAACATTATTAATGAATTTCAAGAAAAATTTTGCATTTTATGTTTAAATTAAATTCATTTTGACTAATAACTATTTGAATTAACCACAATATTAAAACAAAATTTACTTGAATAGAAATAAATAACTTTTCATTATGAGAGCCAAATTTAATTCTACTGATTTTTATACTCCATTGGACACATTGGTTGATTGTTTGATGTTAGAACAAGGACATCCAAATGCCAGTAAAATACTGTGTCACATTTCGATATTTCTTGGAAGTTTTATGGCTTATGTATTCCCAGTGATTGGAGTCGCTGATTTGATTTCCAATTGTATTGTTGCTACAATATTTCTATACTATCTACAACATATTAGACAATTCGTATATTTGGGAGTTCTCGCTTTATCAGACATTTCAATCGTTATCACTATTGGATGGTTGCGTTGGTTTCCTACATTTGGTCTACCATTCGCAACAGCAGGAAATACATATTACTTCATTTCATTAACATCAACTACTAGCTGCAAATTGTACGTGTTCTTTCAATCACTCACCTGTATTTTTCGTGGAAACATCTTTCTAATAATGGCATTTGATCGTTTGCTGTTGATTCATAAGCCATTATTGTTTAAGAAACATCCCAAATATACTGTCTGGATAATAATCACTACAGTCTTCATTATATCCATTATAATGTCACTACCTATTTCCATATATAGTGATTTTATTCTCGTAACCAATCGTAATATATGTTGGCAAAAATTCTATACTGACTTCCTGGTAATTTACCAAGCTTTGTTTTCATACACAAGTCTAACGCAATTCTTAATCGTCATTATGATTGATACATCTTTTTTAGTGAGTGTGGTACGTTGGTCTCGTAGTCGTCCTCAGCCGATGGATACACAAACATCAAAAATGACTAGCAATGGACGTACTATCACGATGCTTGCCCTCCATACTTTTGCATTTTTATGTGCATTACCATGTGTGATCTCTTATCTCCTATCAATTACTTTTCATCGTCCAAATCATAAACTCTCAGAGGAATACGTTCGTTTCATATTACTTTTTGTGAATATTGGATGGAATTTGATTTTTCTTCAATCATCTTTGAATATCGTTTTGTATTGTTTTCGCATCAATAAGTTTAAAAGAATCCTACTTAAACCATTAACTAATTATCGTAACAAAACATCGACCTTTGGTAAGAGATCAATTTAATTTGGTAGATAGTTATGAATTGATGATCTTGGATACCGTGGTATCAAACACATTGACTTCATTTAATCCAAGTTTAAGAAATTTTATCATGTAATTGTTTTTGTAAACTCACCATGTATTATTTTCAGCTAGATCATTTTTTCGGTATAATATTGGTTCCATTTCACTGCACCGTTTGTTTTGTAGAATATTCTTTGTATTCATTTAATGTGACATTCATCATATGTTTTCTATAGTCATTTTTAGTATTTCTCTCTCAAGTGTAGGTAAAATAGATTTATGAATAAATGTATTATTTGAAATGTTTGATGTCTTTTGAAAAGTGAAATGTATCTTTTCCTTCAATCAATAAAGTCTACTAATTATCATTGTGGAAGTCCCTGTAAATACTTATCAAAAGTTATTAGTCATTCAATATGACAGTAGTTTCTCACTTTCAAGTATTCCGTATTATCCGCGATGGTGTGTGCTACTGATATCAACAGATATGAGTAGTATATATCATCGATTGAAAGTGAAATGCCTAGTGGCATAAGGTTAAGAAGATTGAAGAGAAGGGAACGAGAACAGAGAATGATTGGTGTGGAAACGAAGGAACAATCAAATCTGGGACAATTGATTGCTATTTTGCAAATGAAGTATTTACTATGTGGTTCTCAGATTTGACCAACATACTCTGTAATTTTGTATTGTGATAGCTTTGGTTATCCCTGCCTGTGTTCTCGTTCACTACACCGTGCCCAGTTGGATACATTCGTGAACATGAAAAAGAAACAAAGAGAAGTTTGAACTAGTAAATTAAGTAAACATAAGAAAAGTCTTGTGATGTACTTACTTTTTGACCTCACAGTTGTTAATACATTTGTACAGAAACGTTTTCTTTAATATTTCGTTAAACCCTAGATCTGATAAATACAATTGTATGTTAGAAATTTAGTTTATCTTAATTTACGTTGATAATGGTATGAGCGTAACGTGAAATTTACCTTATGGAGTAAAGTCTAGCTGTTTTTACTCAGACTATTCGCTAATAAAGGTGAAGTCCTGATGACTATCGGACAATTGAATGAAAGCGTATTTAGTGTATTAATCGTCTATTTTAATTCACAGATCTATGTAAATTACGTATCATTTAAAGTTACTATTGTACTAAAATATAGATATGTGAATGATAATTTCCGTTTTCAATAAACTATCATCAGATTCAACAACACATTAGAGATCGTAACACCGAAATCAGAAATTGAATTATTTACATCGATATAACTGTTGGTGAATCCATCAAGTCAACTGCTTCTATGGAGGAACATTGACAGATGTTCTAGAAATTCGCTCCTTTGTCCTTATCAATCCGTTCTACCTTAGTTGAACATAGGTGGAGTTGCAACGGTCAACAGTTCTAACACAGTTTTCCCAGTACTATCAAGTTATAAGGTTAAAATCCATCAATCATTCTTAAGAAGCTATTATGTTTTTGGTCATCCGGACGTCACATGTGATTACATTACTTCTCAAAAAAACCCGGAGTCTAAATATAAAAGAAATGGATCTTATCACTTTCCGATATTTCCCTATCAAATAATCTAATAGTCATTTCAATTATAAAGTAACAAAATACATATCCCCACATTTGTTACATTCTCATAACCTAAATCTATCCGATTTTATTATTCATTAACTTGTCTATACATATTTGAATAATTTATTTAGAACCACTCGAAATTGATTACCTCTTGACAATTTCTGAAGGGCACTGTCATTTGATTATTAATTAAACGCAGTCAGTCATTATCAACGTTGAGCCTGGGAGAGATGTTTGTTGGCCTAACTTGGCATAATCCTCTAACGTTATAAGAAAAGAAGAACAAGATTTGCAATAAAAGGAATGCAATAACACGGTAGCAATTACAATGAAAAATATGATTGAGAATATCATTATAAAGATAGAGTATAAATGTTCATATGAGTGAGTAGTGTAACTCAAAATCGAGAGGAAAATGAATGGATATACGCCATTGTGAACGATTTTGACATATGTCATTTGTAGTCGTCGGCATCTACATGTGGTTCACACATGAACCCTGATCAGGTTGTTCGCATCGGTCAGCGTAGCTTAGGCCATCAGTTAATGGGCTTATAAATTGATGCCAAGTTTCGTTTTGGCCACATCTACCGTTCTTTTAACCTACTCCTGATCTAGCAAATACAGTCTATCGAGGTAAAATGTTATTAAGGATAAATCATACATGTCCTAACCACCACAGCTAGTGAACTATTACAACTTCACTAGCCTTTATCCCACCTTAAACCTAATAAACTATTTGTAACCTTAACACTGACCACTCACTTGTTTTACGAAACGCAAGCAATGCTCCGAGTATTTACTTACTTAAGCCTGTTACACCTCGTCAAGGAGCATAGGCCACCCACCAGCATTCTAAACCAAACTCTGTCTTAGACAGTCCTTTCCAGTTGTTTTCAATTGCTATCCATTCTTCTGATATCTGCTTCCAAATCCCGACGCAGTGTGTTCTCTGGTCTTCCTCTTTTCCGCTTCCCTTCAGGATTCCAAGTTAGGGCTTGCTTCGTGATGCAGTACGACGGTCTCCTCAGTGTGTGTCCTACCCATCTACACTGTTTTTTCCTGATTCCCTCTCCATTTGGAAGCTGGTTTGTTCTCTTACATAACAGGTTGTTGCTGATGGTATCCGATCAACAGTGAATATCTTGGATAGACAATTGTTTAGATATAGTTGTACTTTTTTGATGATGTTTATAGTAGTTGATGTGTGGGCGAGAATGATAATGATTGGTTGTTTTGCTTAGTCAGACTTGTATATAGTGTGACAGGTGTCAGATGAGTTATATATCCCCCTATCCTTATTTATTTATTTGTTTATTATTATTATTATTCATAGATTATCCGTTTGCCGTTGTATTGTGTCGGTTTTGGTGTGGGAATATATTTACGTTCTTGTCAAGCTAATCACGTGTTCTTGATCTGAGTTTTGTTGAAGTCTTGTAGAGTAGACACTGGGAGGTAATCTAGTGTAGACATTCGTCTAAGGTAAATTAACGTCCCATTCGTGTATACAAGAAAAGGGACCGTTATAACAGTAGTGGTTCTCCAAGTTTTGGCTTCGTACAATGGAACTACTTTAACTTTTATACTGAGAGTTATGATTTTGGTGTTAGCTTATAGTTTTTTTAAGCAGCAAATATTCTTCAGCTGTAGGAGTACAGTCCTTGCTTTCCCGATCCGTGCATTCACTTTTGTAATAGATCCTCGTCGTTCATCAGTGATGCTGCTTAGATAGGTACGCAAACGTTTCCACCTGTTCCAGAGCTTCCCCATCAACTGTGGTTGGGTTGGTATTCCCAGTGTTGTATTTCAGGATCTTGCTTTCTACCTTGTGTCTGTGGAGGTCTACTAATGTGGAGGCCTTTGTTACACTGACTGTCTTCACTTGCATATGTTGATGTGTATGGGATAGAAGAGTTAGATCACCTGAGAAGTTCATATCGTCTGGTTGTATTCAAACTGTCCATTGTACCCCGTGCATCCCCTCACACGTCGATGTCTTCATAATCAAGTCAACTGCAGGACGTAAAAGAGAGGGGGGAGTCAGCATCCTTGTCTGACACCAGTCATCACTTGGAATGAGTTTGTCAGCTATCCTCCATGAACAACCTTCCGGTGTCATCCGTCGCATGAATTTCGGATGATGTTGACGATCTTCTCAGATAAACCGTAATTTCGAAGAACATTTACATAATGTTCTCCGTTCCACACTGTCAAACGCCTTCTCATATCCAAGCAAATTGATTTATAATGACGAGTTCACTCAATTAATTGTTCAACGATGATTCATTGTGCTGCAATTAGGTCTGAGTATGACCGATCCTTACGGAATCCACCCTGTTGATCCCGTAATTGGGTGTCTACTGAATCTTTCATCTGGCTCAACAACACTCTGTTGAAAACGTTTCCAGTTAGTGATAATAGTGTGATGCCCTTTTATTTCCCACACTTGTTCAGATTTCCTCGATGAGATATCCTTTATTACAGTCTGTTTGTAGTGTAGTGAACAAAACACAAGTGGGGACAATCTAATGTATTCAAACGAAAATTATAAACTATCTCACTAAATTCTGATAACCATACAATAAACAGTTAATTTGCAAAATAACAATCCACTGTCTCATTCTTCACTGTTCCTTCTGTAAATATTAGTTCATCTTCTCTAATTTCATTGTTCATGCATTTTCCTACCAATTGCGCTTCATTTCAGTTCTTTCCTTATTGATCTTCTGCAAAAATACATTCTATGTCTAACCATCACCATACACTACTTATATGGATATGAGTAGACCACACCATAGTAGTAATTGTTCCTCCACAAAAATCGTCCTAAATAGAACGTGGAATATCTTTGCAGTCATCTCTATATTTGACTTCAATACTTCAGGAGGTGTATTGTCAAGACCTACTGCTTTCCCGTTGTTGATTTGTCTGATTACAATTCTGATTTCTTCAATCGTTGGTGGAGTGACGTCTATGGGAAGGTGTGTGTTCTATTTCGATGTCCAGTGTGCTCAGTGATGCTGGTTTATTCAAGAGTTCTTCAGAGTGTTCCACCCATCGGTCCCATTCTTCCTGAATTTCAGCGACTGACATGCCTTCTTTTTCCTTGAGCTTCGACTTACTTACTTACTTACCCCTGTTACCTATCGTGGAGGAGCATTAGCCTCGCAATGAGTATTCTCCATTCAACCCTGTCCTGGGTAATCCTTTCTAGTTCTTCACAGTTAACATTCATCCATTTCATATATACTTCTATTTCCCGACTTAATTTGTTCTTTCGCCTTCCACTTTTCCGCTCCCCAGCACGATTCCAAGTTAGGGATTACCTCGATATGCACATTGGTGATTTCCTTAATGTATGTCCTATCAAATTACAACGTCTATTCCTAATTTCCTCTTCAGCTCCAAGCTGGTTTGTCCTTTCCCATAAAACGCTGTTGCTGATAGTATCCGGTCAGTGAATGTTGAGTATTTTGCATAGACAAGTGTTTATAAATACGTAGGCCTTCTTGACTATGAATGTAGTAGTTCTCCACATTTCAGCTCCGTACAGTAGAACTGAATGTCTTGACATTCGTATTGAATATTCTCACCTTGAAGTTAGTTGACAACTGTTTTGAGTTCCATATGTTCTTCAAATGTAGAAATGCGGTCCTTGCTTTGCCAATCCTCACCTTCACAACTGCATCCGATCCCCCTTGTTTATCGATTGTGTTT